TTTTGGAAACCTTGATGAAATATTTATCAAATATAAAATCAAGCCGACGCCTCAGAGGTCATCAGTATAAACTAAAGAAAGAAAATTTTTCTACAAGACCAAGACAGAACTTTCTTCCAAATAGAGTTTTTGAGTGCGACAACATTTTCTCCGCTTCCTCTACCAACTCGTTCAAAATCAGACTTGACGTTTTATATTATAGTTAAAATATTGTTTTTCTTTTAAACCATAAAATTGTAATTTTATTTCTTTTATTTGTAATTTTTGTTATTTACTAGTAGGTGATTAATGAAATTTGTTTGTTTTTGGGCATAATAGGGACTTAGTTCCTCTGCCCTCGCTTATGTTATAATAATAATAATAAATTACGGAAGGATCAAAATTACGACGGATCAGACAAGTCAAGATTTGTTTTTAGCTTTACGTGTCTCGACAGCATAGGTCACTGAAAAAGGTACACTTTTATTACATTATTTCATTTTAGGCCAACTTTATTTCTAGCTGCATTTAGGTCGCTTATATATTATTATATTATATATTAAGTTCTTGTGGTTCTGTAGGATTATTAGCAATCAGCACGATGTCGTTTGCAAATCTTAGATGGCTGAGTTATTCTCTATCAATGAATATACTGGTCATACCATGCCTGAAAACCTGCCAACTAATCAATAACCTCCTAACCAACAGACTGTTTCAAGTATATATAAACGATACAAAGAGCAATGTCAGAAAGCTAAATAATGGCCTCCCACAGGGTTCAGTGCTTGCTCCACTATTATTTAACATTTACACAGCCGATCTTCCAGAGACAAAATCAAAAAAAATTGCTTACGCAGATGACCTGGCTATCGCATTTCAAAACCAAGCCAAAGATGTTGGAGAAAGGGCGCTTACCGAAGATTTAAGGGTTCTCTGCGACTACTTTAAACAATGGCGACTTCGCCCTAATACAAACAAAACTGAGACAAGCCTCTTCCATCTCACAAATCAGCTTTCGAATGACACCCTTGGCATCACCTTCAATGGCGAGACTTTGAAACATAATAACAACCCTAAATACCTGGGTGTAACGCTCGACAGATCACTGACGTTCAAAACCCATCTTACGAATGTAGCTGCCAAAGTGAGAACCCGTAACAACATAATAAAAAAGCTTGCTGGAACGACATGGGGTGCCACTGCGGATACACTTCGAACCTCCTCACTGGCCCTGGTGTATTCTGTCGCTGAATACTGCGCACCGGTATGGCTAAATAGCGCTTATGTCAACAAGATTGATGTTCAACTAAATTACACTATGAGAGTAATATCTGGTACTATTAAATCAACTCCACTAAGATGGCTTCCAATTCTGAGCAATATAGCACCTCCAGATATTCGACGAACGGCAGCACTTGTCAGAGAATATCAGAAAATCATGGCAAATAATCGTCTGCCAATTCACTAGTATATTCCGCACGCCGCACGAGACCAACAAAGACTGAAGTCCAGACGACCCCCTGTCCAATCCGTTCAGGGAATGGGTGATAGCTACAATAAGCAAGAGCAGTGGACGAAAAGATGGATGCCAACAACAGAGCCAGACGTCATCAAAATAACAAGTACGTCGATCGGCTTTACTGAATCAAACCTGCCACGCCCTATATGGACAAAATTAAATCGCATACTCACGGGTCATGGCAAATTTGCCGATTCTCTATACCGATGGGGTCATGCAGAAAGCCCACAATGTGATTGTGGATCCCCGAGACAGACCATCCAACACATCATGGCGGATTGCCCAATCCGCAAATACAGCGGAAACCTTCAAGATTTTGCAGAGTGTTCTCCTGGTGCAATTGAATGGCTGTGCAACTTGGACATTAATATTTAATATTTAACTTAGGTTACAATTCCAATTTGAACATAATTATTATCTAAATACTACTTTTATCGTATTGTAATTATCCATACGCTAAATAAATAAATGAATATACTGATAGATACATAAATAGTGATCTTGGTAAGACTCCAACGATGCATTAGTATATTATATATACTATAGTCATAATATTCTAGGTACAGGGTGGACAAAAATACAATAGTTTTGTGTGTGTTCATAAAGTAACGCGCTAGTTAAATTCACAATATTATCAAAAATATTTATTGTCTAGCGGACAGAATATGATGAAATACATGACTTTATAAATGTTCGAACTGCAGCCCTTGCTGTATTTTACAGTAACCCAAACGTTGTACAAATTCTTGTTGCACCTTGTTTATTGTCTTGAGAAATATTGTTTATTGCTGTCCGAATTCTCTTGTAATTCTTGAATATTTGCTGGTGTCATTTGACACACAACATTCTTCAGATGGTCCCACATAAAATAATCCAAAGGATTGAAATCTGGTGACCTCGCTGGCCATTTAATAGGTCCACGTCTACCAATCCACCTGTTCGGAAAAATTTCATCTAGGTACCTTCTAACATCTACAGCATAATGTGGAGGTGCACCATCCTGTTGCAACCATTAACTACCATCAAAACCTCCAGGATTACGTCTGCTGGGAAACAAATTACGAAAAGTAGGTACGAGATATCCCCTTACAAACTCAAGATACGTTGCTCCGTTTAAATTACCTTCGATAAAGTAGGGCATGATGATTCGATTTCTTACAATTGCAGCCCATACATTAACCTTTTGCGAGTATTATGTATAATGCTCACGCATCAAGTAGGCGTTTTCTTTTGTACAGTATCTACAATTTTGACGGTTAACCTAGCCATTTAACGTGAAAGCGGCCTCATAAAAAAAAAATATGTTTTGTACTAAGAGAGGATCTCGGTGGCAGTTATCTATTATTGCTTCGCAAAATTGCATTCTTCTATCTGGATCATCTTCGTTTCATTCCTGCACAAGTTTAATTTCATGAGGATGCCATTTTTTAACTTTTAATAGTTTGTGTACCGTTGTTTTACTAACACAGATATCGCGACTAACTTTACGCACAGAAATGTGCGCATCTTCTTCAAAACTAAGTAAAACATCTACTACTGTATCAGCATTTGCAGAGGGACGAATTGATTTCCGTGCATTTTCAACCGTACCAGTTTCTCAAAATTTCTGTTCAATCTTACTGTTGAACGCGTTATAGGTCTTTCTGGATATTTATGATAGATTATCATATTTATGAAAGTTTATGGTTGCAACAGAATGGTGCACCTCCACATTATGCTGTAGATGTTAGAAGGTAGGTAGACGTGGACCTGTTGAATGGCCAGCGAGGTCACCAGATTTCAATCCTTTGGATTATTTTATGTGGTGCCATCTGAAGAATGTTGTATATCAAACGAAACCAGCAAATATTTAAGAATTACAACAGAGAATTCGAACAGCAATAAACAATATTTCTCAAGACACAATAAACAAAGTTCAACAAGAATTTGTACAACGTTTGGGTTACTGTTAAATACAGAAAGGGCTGCAGTTCGAACATTTATAAAGTCATGTATTTCATCATATTCTGTCCGCTAGACAATAAGTATTGTTAATAATATTGTCAATTTAACTAGCGCGTTACTTTATGAACACACACAAAACTATTGCATTTTTGTCCACCCTGTACCAATTCGAATCAACATGTGATACATTTTTGGAATCCGCTCAGCTAGAGTAATCCGAAAATTGAGACAAAATGGGGGTATTCTTAAAAAAAAATGACGGTGACGTCATTACTCGAAACTAATTCACCCTGTATATTAGAATATTATTTTAAAATACGTTAAATTTAAATTAAAAAGGATTATTTCTTAAAATACTGTGTTTAGCCAAAAAAGAATTTGTTCCATACATTACGGACACAGTATAATGTAATGTATAGTATAATATAATGAATTGTTATCCTAGTTTCATCATTAATCTTAACATACTTTTTGATTTAAAGAAATGACCGGGGTTAATGATATATTTAAATATTTAATAATCGTTCTAATAAATTATTACTCAGAATATGAATATTTTAAAAGCAGCCATTAATAATATTTTAGTCATACTTTCCAGAGACTTCCGTCTTTTAAATAATGACTCCCACCGGATATCACCCCTAAGAAAAGATGTCCATTATGCTGCTACTCTTTGCTGATGAGTAGCGTAAAGGAAGCTTGCGTGAGTTTAATTTTACAACCACCGTTTGATGTCGTGGGAATACGGAAGTCTTGTGCTCCTTGCTCCCAATTCTGATCAGTTAATTATAAATTAATATAATTATATTATACCCTTCGATGAATATCACAACTGAAATTCGTGTTATCTGGAGAGAACATACATAACGGAACAATATCGATTTCTTTCTACAACGACTCCACCTAGAAGTGTTTTTTATAATTTGTTTTAACAATCTTTGCACAAAAAATTGCTTAAGTGTGCATTTTTAACGCGAAAAATTTTTCTTTTTGTTTACCGAAACTTTTTATCATTTTCATGGGTGGCGGATTAGCAAATCTTATTTTGTTGACCTTTTTATCAATAAACACCGGCAAATATGCCGGATATTTTGGCCAATTAATAATTAAATTAATAAATAAATTCCTTCAGATTAAAAGTCTGTTCAAAGTCTTTTTCATGGACAGTTGATTCTTAGTACCCTTAAACATTAAACATTTTTATTGAAATGTTTAATAACTCATTTTCTCCTCTTTTTCTCCATTGACTATGCTTACTCATACTCCTAATAAAGTTTCTCAAAGGTAACTCTTATAACGTTAGTGGTTAATGCACAGAGGTGTCATCTACTTTGGTGGAGAAGAACTAAACAATTAAATAAATTATTTTCTATCCTCTGGGCTGTCGAAATGTGCAAATCTTAATAGCTCTCAGCAAAAGCGTGCTATTGCTCTGATGATATGAAAGCCATATATTATAGCATTTAGCTTTTAAAGGTTTGACTAATGTATGCTCCAATTATACATACGAAATGGGTGAATTAATTATTTTTCTCAATAATATCTTTAACCAAATTACCTGCAGAAGTGACAGCACCAACCCTTGCTCTTTCTCCAATTGGAACCCATTTTCCGAGCAAAGCTGACAACAACGGATAAAAAAAGCCTTGTGCTAGACCCTGAACTACTCTACAGACCATCACTCCCTCTGCACCAAAATATTCCGCCATTTTTGGTATCAAAAGCATCATTAATGAATTGATAATGATGGTTATTGACATTATTCTATGGATTCCCCATTTTCTCGCTAAAAGTGAGGCGGGGATCTGTGGAATGATGTATCCCAGAAAGAAAGCTGAGAGCACTATATTTTTGTTTGTCCATTTGTAATACTAAAAAAATAAATATAACAACACACAAAACAAAATAATTATTTGAACTATAAATTGCACATGATATTTTTATAAAAAATAAGAAATGGCACAAAGAAATTATAAAACCTGTTCTTAAAGTCAAAACATAATTGCTTAAAGTAGGATTACTTACCGGTATATCAGGATTTACTGAGGTACTTTGCGTCATGGCAACTATTGCTACAGATAAGTTGAACCTCAAGGCATATGTCATCAGACATAGCCAAAAGAGTAAGATTATTTGGACATGTCTCGCCCCAAAGAATATACCTGAAAGAAAAATATGCAACATATTAACTAAAAGTTTATGGTGAAAAGTAGACAAAAGCAACAATAGCGTTGATAACCTATATAGAAAAATCGTTAGTAGATAATATAGGGGGACTGATCGTAAATGCCAAACAGCTTAACGTAGGTATGAGGTATCGTTGAAAAACTGATGCAGAATGGGGTTAAAAGCATTATGTGTCGTGTGCATCGCAGCACGCCAAAAAGGCATTACATCATATCTTCGTTTTAATTGATCAGATTGTAACATATGAAAGCTCGTTAGAAAAAGAGGGGCTAACGAGTACGTTGTGACAAAAAACAAGAAAGCGGCATTGCCAAAATGGCTCTATATTTTTAACGGATTCGCATTTAGCGGATTTTAGGGGTTGTGATTTAGGGGGTGCACTCAGATCCCTCTACCTTATCTACCATTGTTAAAAGTATATATATATATATATATATATATATATATATATATATATATATATATATATATATATATATTTTTGTTATGATATGTAAAAACGAGAATAATATTGGTTTGTTTAAAATATTTCAAAATTCAAAAACATTAAATAATTCAGATAAATAGGATAATACCCAACAAACATTTCGAAGAAGGAAAGTATTTAAAATTTTTGGATTACCTGTATTAAACAAAATGTACTATGCATAAATTATTTCTTTTGTTATACTATACTTGAGTGACCCGCATAATGTTAAGTGAAATCCAAAGAACAATTGAACCGGGTTTTCCAAAGACATTAACGCAGTGATTATAGACAATAGAAGAGATTTGGAAAGATGTTTTTGTTAGTTTTTAAGAATTATAGAAAAATATTATTTGTAAATAAGTTTTAGGAAATTTTATAGGTAAAAATTTGTTTGTTATCGGAATGAAAGAATGGGGAATTGTGACGAGTTTTGATTGGCGGAGATTAAAAAAGGTGGGAGGTATGTAGGAATGAAAGTTTAGCTAGATTTCGGAGTGAAAAAAGATAGTTAGTAGGTTTCCAAGGGTGCAAGGCGAACGGCCGTTGTTCTCGGGTAGTTTCCCAGAGGTAGGAAGCAGTAGCAGTGAAAGTTTGTGAGTTTTCGTGTAGTTAGTGTATCTGACAGAAGCTGATCCAGTAAAATATTGTAAGTCATATTTTTCTACTTATATTCCAAGAGTCACGGTTCAGGGCAAAGAGAGATTCAGTTTATCGTAAAGAAAAGATATTCCAAGAATCATTTTTCACTCAGGCCAACGAGAGATTCAGTTTATTGAGAGAAGAAGAAGCTAGCATAATTTGAACGATTCGTGCATTTGAAGGAGATCATTAAGGACGAGATACTTGCAATAATTTATTGTAAGATTGCTGATTACTTAGGGAGCGGCCACGAGTAAATAATATAGTCTACAAATAACAAGGATTTGGACCACTCATCATCAGAGAGAGATAGTTTTGTTTTCTGCAGTTTTTCTTTCATTGATAACACAATTTTTTACACTTAATTTAGAAAGGGTATAAATATTTTGATTAGGAGATTTAGAGTAATACTTGGATTTTGAGATTTCAACTAATATTGTTTGTACCATTAATTTTGAAGGTTCACGTACGTAGAACAAAATTTTGAGAATCATTATATGAGATTTTGTTTATTGAAAACTTTTGAGTGTGAATTATTTCATTATTTTTATTTCAATATATAGTGTTAGATCATATGTGTTTTTTATTATTCCGGTATTCTTTGGACCTTACCTTTCACATGTAATAGCATAGATATTGAAGCACGAATAAAACCTGAGATAAGAGAATTAAAAATTGTGATAGAATCATAATCATATCATTTAAATAATTTTAATTAATCAAAAAAATTAATTAGCTAATTATTGCTTGGCGCACCAAGACTTTAAATATCACAATAATATATATATATATATATATATATATATATATATATATATATATATATATATATATATATATATATATATATATATATATGTATATATATATATATATATATATATAATTTGTAGTCTCAGCAATTGGTCTGTATGAAATGAAACTCTATTTAAACTATATAAACAAAATGAATATTTTAATACTTACTACTTAAGATTAAAAATTTAAATTTTGACAACATATCCAATTTACATAAATGACATTTTTTTGATTTTAATTTATTTTAGAGTTATGGTAACCGCAAAAATTAAAATCAAAAAAATGTCATTTATTTAAATTGGATATGTTATCACAATTTAAATTTTTAATGTTAAGCTGTAAGTATTGAAATATTCATTTTGTTTACATATAATAATTATAATAAATTTACAGTTTTCTCCTGGAGAAGTCAGAACATCGTGACGAAATATTGAGAAATAACAAATAGAGTTTCATTTCATACAGACCAATTGCTGAGACTACAAATAATATTTAACACTGTACGGTCGAGAATAATTTGAAATATATATATATATATATATATATATATATATATATATATATATATATATATATATATATATATGACAATATAAGATTGTAAGTAAAAACAGAAGAAATAGCAAAAAAGATACTAACTACAGACAAATATTGGTTAGACAAGGAGACTATATTTCACCGAAGCAACACTTACTTTGGTTCTAGAAGATGCTTCAAATTTAAGAATGAGCAAATAAAAGAGTGACGATGGACAGCGAAAACTTGCACCATCTGATATTTGCTGATGATGTTGCGCTAATCTTAAGAAAAGAAGCCGTAGATTTAAGTTACAAAGGAAGATTTCTTATAGCGGCTTCCTAAGGTCGGCGATATTGCGGACGTAAGCGGACCAGCCCGCACCACGCACCATGGGAAAGGTCTCGTCCGTGATAGCAGAGGCACGTCCGTGCTGGTGCGTTCTATCCATCTAGAGTCGGTAACATCAAAGGTGCGGTACATGCTCGTGCAACGCGATCCTAGCGCGTCTGTGTTTTAACAGACAAGTGCAAGTCAGAAGTTTTTCATTCGCTGATACGAGTAGATATCTGTAGTGTTGTCAAAGTTGTTTTGCAGTTTTTTGCTAAAAAATGGAATGGAAAAACGAAGTTATTTTTGATTTTTTAAATTTGTATCAAAATGAATCAAGTTTATGAAATTCCACTGCGCCGGAGCATAATAACGGAAGGAGACTCGAATATAGGAAAATATATTATTTTGGAAGATGCTAAATTGATTTCCTTCGAAATAGATCTTATTGCATAGCAGGCTGAATCTAGTTTCTTATTTAATAAATCGATATGAAAGTTGATATAAAGAATTTAAGGTTGTCTATAAAAATACCAAGAAATTTTGGGTTGAAGAGCTCTTTTATAGGATAATGCTATTGTCTTTTTTTTTATTTCAAATTACATGTCTCGGCTGCTGCGTCCATTGACACAAGGAACTGTATTACAGAATAACAATAAAGTTACATTGATTACAGTTTTTAAGGAACTCTATCACATTAGACATATTGTTTTTAGATTTTAAAATATCATATAAACTTCCGTGGATACCATGTTTGATCTGTGCTGCAGCGTACTGGTTACACTCCACAAGTATATGGTGTACACTTAGACGGGATTTGCAATATTGGCAATTTGGAGGGTCTTCGGAAACCATCAGATATCCATGGGTTAGACGGATGTGCCCAATTCTGAGCCTTCTAATGATGGTCTTCGATTTTCTTTCCATTATAACAATTCTAGGTCCTAAAATGTTTGGTTGGATAGACTTTAGTTGGGTAGTGCACCTGTTCCATTTATTTTGCCACATTGAGGTAGATAACTTTTTAATTTCAATTATTATGTCTTGAAACATTTGAACTTTTTCATCTGTAAGGTCAGAGCGAGGTGCTTCATTTGCTGCGTGGTCAGCATTCTCATTTCCTTTAATACCAACATGTGAAGGGTTTCATATCATCGAAGCCGAAGTGTTTGAATTAGCAGGTGCTGTGCATCTTTCGTGGACCTCATTAACTAAAGGATTTGATGTGTAGATTTTTCTAATCGAAGCTATTGTCTTATCCACGTTAAAAGAAAGTAAATTAGAGTCAGATCAGTTTATTTTAAGTAGATCAGAAGTTATAATTGCATGAAGAGTTGCAATTTTAGAGTTCCTCAAAGTAATAATAGAGGAGAACAAAAAGAAAAATTTTTCCATCAATTCCAAGATAATGATGTCATTTAGAAAGATAAGAAAAAGGAGAGGACCTAGTACAGAACCTTGTGGTATTTCACATAAAATGCTTTTGTGACTAAAGTCAGTATCATTTGCTCTAACTAGTTGTTTCCTATTTCTCAAGTAAGATTGGAATTAATTCAAAGAAATACCTCAAATTTCGTAGAAATTTAGTTTTTTATTAAAATGTTAACAATTACTTTCTCATTAACCGATAATGAACAATTTTTCAACTTTTAACAGGTGTAAATTTTGAAACACTCTAAATTTTTTATAATATAAACCACAACTAAATACTTTTTATCTTATAAAACTTTTGATTGCAAAAACACTATAACATAATTATTTTTAAATGCGATTACTTACATGTGTTATATTTTGACATTAAATCTGTTACTGTTTTACTAAAAGAAATAATACAAACTGCCAAAATATGTAGTCCGATTTGGTAGTGAAATTAGTTATAAAAATATAAAATAATAAAGCGATACAATAAAAAAAATTAAGCAACTGTTTGTCTCAAGGTTGCTGATTGTCTTATTTGGTATTTACTTATAGAGGATTTCCACAGAAGTAAACGAATTAATATACCATTTAGTAGAGCACATTACCTGATGATTTATGATATATACACAACATAAAACAATTACTCAAGTAATTGAAATCTTAATTATACTTATGCGGCTATAACAATAATATAAACAATTTTTAGTTAAAATCATTAACTGTCGTTAAAAAGCATTCCTTATACTGGCGAATGTTTTTAAGACAAAAAAAAAACAAACATGTTATTGTTGATTTTTGCTAGTT